CCCCTCACCCCCGCTCTCTCTTAAGCAGCGTGGGCCCCCCCATCCTTCACCCTCAGGTCTGATGAATGGGCCTATCAGGCATGCCAGCTGCCCCGGAGGTGAGCAAGCTGCCCCCGCCAGGCAGACCGGCCACCAAGCCAGAGGGAGGAAGTGGAGCAGAGCGGAGAGGGACGGGGCAGGGGTGGCATGCCAGAACTCACACCAGGCAAAGCGTCCGCAGAAAAGACGAGTGGAAATATGGAGAAACGCAGGGCGGGCCGCTGAAACGGGGAGGGGTACAGGATACACATCCAAACGGGGGGCCAACCTGGACGCCAGCAACGCAGTGGGGCAGCGTGGATAAACTCACAACATGTTTTCACTCTCTGCTTGCTCAGGACTTTCCGCAGTTGTTCCACTGATAACCAGTGGCTGGGTAACGTTTCAGAAACACACCACAAAAGGAGGAAAACTCCCGTTCGCCGTCATTTGCATTTGTCAAATGTGTTTTGCATTAATGAGGAAAAATGTAAATGGTCTCACACTGGCAACCCCTGTACGGCCGAAGCCATGAGCCAATTGTTCAGCGGTGACATCACATTGTTTATGATTTATTTCTGCATAAATATTCAGGTCTGCGAACGTGAGACAAAAAGGGTCTTAAGACTAAAAAGAGTCGGTTTATGAAGCCGCGTTAAGACTCATTTACTGGGCAAACAAACATCAGCCAGGCTGTAATCTGCAGGGCCGCACTCATGAATCAAGACGACGGTGATTATTAGTCTGAGACTCACATGGTCACGCAGCATAAACAAACATGATTGACAACAGCTCCACTGCTGGCAGTTTAACTCTCGACCCAAATGGTCCAGAAAACATGATGTCTGTTGGTTATTGGCGCGGAGACCAAGCCGTTTCCATAGTACCTGTCATAATTCTTGACGCCACTCGTTTTAGCGACATGTGTGATTCCCGCCCATCAACTCCTGCCAAAGAAACTGCCCGTGCCTGTTACTCATTACATGGCAGTCTCTGTGTGCCACCAATAACAGTGCTGCCAACTGTGGGTGTGTTGTGGAGACAGGAGGCAGGAGATTGGTCGACGCAACAGGAATTTACAGCAAGCCTTACATGGGACGTTCATTTCAAGTTTCTTTTTTTTTTTTCATTTCAGGTTCTGGAGAATTTATATATTGAGGGTTAGAAATTTTTTTTTTTTTTTCAGTTTAGGGATGGAAATTTGGGATTGAAGCTGGAGTTCACCAGTCCACCGCAAGCGTTCACACTCCCATTCACACCTACAGTGAATGTGGGATTAAATGTCAAGTGGGTACAATCATCACATAATTACCTATAAATAACAACAAATCCACGTTTTTCTTCTTTGTTTTCACGCAAATAAGTTCAAGTTCATTAAAAGAAATCTTTTTCAAATTTAATGAAACATAATTTGACAAAACATCACAAAGACATGAAGTGTTTTTTTTCACTAAGCAGGCCAGATTATACCACCCAACGAGCCGGTCTTGGCCTGCGGGCCATATGTTTGACACCACAGATTTAGAGAGTCGTGGTCTTTTTTTTCTTGTCCTTTAAGGAAGTTTTTGTATCATTATTCGTGTGGATCTTTGAAGTAACTGTCGACACAAGTCACACATTCCACTAAAACCACATCACACATTCCCTTCCCTGTGAAACCGTTTACCCACAGACGTTTCTACTGAACTGGACCAGCACCATCTCTGATTTTCTGTTAAGTTCCTCTGATATACCCAGAATCCACTGGGGTAAAAACGTCCGCCTGTCTGTTGAAACATCTTTTATGTCCATCCAGCCCAGTTCCTCTCTTTACATTCCCATCCCTGGCCACTGGGGGAATCCTAATGCTCATATCCAAGCAAACATTTTATAAATGCAGGTCTGGCCTCTGAAGGCATCTTCAGAGGCCAGACCTGCCTTGTACCTGAAAGCCTGTCGCTCCTGGAACGCTGCGCAGTCAGTGAGCGCAGCTGTGGTAAATATTTTCCTCACTCCTTGGTTTATTTGTGGCTGATCTGAGCCCAGTTAGCCCCGAGGACTCTGGGTAGTAAACAGATCGGACTATCAAAGCAAATCAGCCCTGAGCAGCAGCTGGACAAACGCTGGAAGGCTTGATCTAAAGTTGAACAAACTACGAAAACTACACCTAATGTATTATTAGTACACACCCTGTAGTATTTATAGAAGTTCTGTGATCAGGAAACTTAATGTGGAATCAGACATTTAAATTGTCCTTTGGTCAGAAATGTATGAAAATAGAATTAGATTTTACAAAAAATATATATAAAAAAAAATTAAAATAGTTTTAATTGGATCCAATACACTGTCCAGTACCATTTATACTGTATATTAGGGGTTCCCAACCTCTGGTCCCTACACCTGCCCGTGGGTCATTTCATACCAGGTTGCAGTGACAGAATTAATTCTAGAAATATTTTTAAAATTATACGTCTTTCTCCGATTCATACAGGATAAAATAATATCGATATATTGATAAAATCGAAAAAAAATATATTTTGAAAATTCAACTAATAATAATAATGATAATGATCACTATCTGTTGGAGTCAGAATTACCACCATTCATCAGATCCCCATGACAAAACCTTCTTCTGGGTTACTCCACCTTTAAAGCAGTAAAATAAAAGTCCACCCAATATTTCTTCTACTGGGTTACTCCAACTTTAAAGCAGTAAAATAAAAGTCCACCATCGTAGCTGAAATGCTGCCTGTGCTATGAGAACGTTCTCGGAGAGGAACACCTTCTCTTGGTGTTGGTTCAGGACGTGCAGCTTTGTCTTTCCAGGTTCGTCGTTCGACTCGTCTTCGTCCAAATCTACAATCGTTTGTGTCGGAAAAAAACCCCAAAATCAAACAAGGAAAACGACCGGTTCGATGATCCAACGTCCACGTGGCAGAGACGCTGAGGAAAAAAAATAAATAAACGGCACCAAAGAGGTCATACTTCGTCTGCCCACATCCTTTACTGAAGCCGTCACCTAAACACAGACTCGTGTTCCAGAGGAAATGAGAGGATGCATTTAGCTCTCCTCATCACAGAGCACTATTCATCTTCAGGAAATAGCATGCTCTGAGAGATGTGTTTAACTTGTAAGTGTCGAAGGAGACAGAGGTAAAAAAACCAGAAACCACTGGTCTCATGATAGGTTGAAAAAACTCACTTGAAAAGAGACACAGAGACACAGAGACTTCAGCTGGGAACAGGATACAAGAGTTTTTGGCAGATTTTACCAGTGATTCTCTGTAGGCAAACGTCGGCACCGGTCTGTACCAGACGGAACAGTCGCCAAGGATCGACGACCCTGACCTGACCTCAGTCGTAGCTAATCAAAACATTTAGAATTTGCATCAAATTTGAATGACGTTGAGTCTCAAATTTGTTGAGTCTCCACTGAACTTCACTGAGAACAGTTTAATTCCAACAACTGCCACTCTCAGTTAATGTCTTTCCCCCGGGATGGCTTCACACTTTAAGACCCGACCGCCATTTTGAGCACTAAAATGGAGCCAGGGTAAGAGTAACATCAAGGGGGGTTCCAAGGAAGTACGAGACGATGGGATGATCCCAAAACTTAAAATGTTGTGTTCTCCAAGTCTTTTTTTTAAATCCATAAAGTAAAATCCATAAACCGTAGTTCAGTGCACCCACCGCCCTTTTATAGACAGGACTGTTGTTGAGTTCCAAACCCGAGCCGTCGTTTCAAAACCCTATTAAAACCCTGAAATTTCTTCTTCATTAACGACAAAGATTACAATCCTGACTTTGAGACCGCAGGCCACGTGTCGTCAGAACACGTTCAAATGTTTTCCTCAGAAGATCACGACCCTGAGGAAAGATCTTCACCTCTGTTGAGTCGTGTCAACCTCCATAAACGTCTCTCGGCCAAAGCACACACACGCTAGTGCTAATTAATGGTAACATGTCGACCACAGCGCGCCCAGAGAAAACAAAGATTAAGTTCGGGGGCTTTATGTTCCGCTGGCCTGTCGCACATCTGGAAACATCATTTGTCAGTGCAAATTACAGTCAACGCTTCTCACACGTGGACTGTTAAAGAACCATATGTGTGATATAACATCTGCTTTCATACACTGTACAGAAGTGGGGAGACTCAGTCAAACTTCAAACTGATGCACTTCATTCACAGCCGTTCGCATCTGGACGTGTTTCGCTGACGATGTCTCCTAACGTTAGCAGCGATGCTAATGATGAATGTCCCTGGGCTGCCGTCTACCCCAGACCCCTCCCCCCACCCCCTCTTTATGGACTTCATTCATAGAGTTCTACTTCAGACCCAGACCCAGACCCTGTGTGGTGGAATACATTGAAGATATTTTGGGGCTGTTAAATCTCTCCGTGTCTGTGAGAGAACATGACTGGAGGATCAGAAGAAGAAGGATCTCCAGTCAGGAAACACTGATGGATGTGAGTGGGGGAAAAAAAAGAGATCAACCTTCAAGTCTTCCCTTCACCAGCGACTGATTCAAATCTTTACTGCTCACCTAAATGTCCTTTATTTATCTGTTTTTTTTACGAGGTCTTTTCTACAAAGACTCATCTGCTCTGATGGAGAAGTCAAACTGAAACATCGTCACTGAAGTGAACAACCTGTATTTCTGACGGTCTTTCTTACTTACTCAGGAAAAGAGTCCATTTTCTATTGGCCACAAAAAGCTATGAGAATAAACTGTAACTATACCAACCAAAAGCAAGGAAGACAAGGAGAAAGAGAGGAGCAGTGTGTATGCGTGTGTGTGTGTGTGTGTGTCTGTGTGTGTTCCCCTCCTCAGCGGTGGGTTAGGGCCGTGAAAGACCACATTGTCGATGTCATGGCCCATCAGCATCAAAGAGCTGTCCAGGTTATGGGTGGAGGCTCTCTCACACACACACACACACGGTTCCAAAGATCCTAAAAACATCATGCTTTACTGTTTCTCTTCAACGCCAAAGAACAATATTTGGGATTGATGTGTAAACCCAGACCAGGGTCAAAGGGCACACAGTAGCATGACTTAGTTCGCAAGTGGGGAAAAGAAAAAAAAAAAGCTAAAGCAATAAACTGACGGCCATTATTGAGGGGTTGATTTGAACATTCTTGTGAATCATGTATTTTTGGTAAATGCTTTTATTTTCTTATATTTTCAAGATTTGGACTCGTTACTTAAATAAACTCGTCGTTAAATAAAAGTCTAGGGAAAATAAAACTAGTTTCTCAAAGTCTTTCTACTTTTTTTAAGAAACTCAATACGTCGTTACGCAGCACTATACGCAGACGACGGCTTTGTTTACATTCTCTGTTCGCCATAAACTGGATTATGCGATGATCGCTTTCTTTCGGGGTTTTTTTTTGGCAACTTTGCCCTTCATTATGGCTCCCAGGCGCAAGTCAGAATGATGAGGTTTTTATGTCTTAGATCTGGGATCCCCAACCTCCGGTCCGGGGACGGGTGCCGGTCCATAGGTCATTTGGTAACGGGGTGCGATGAGACACAGTGAAAAAATGGTCTTATTGGTCCTCACTGGTAACAGCTGATACCGACCGACCGGTCCTTGGTTCGCTGGACTGGATTATGACGTTAGCGCCGTGTTAGCGTAGGTGAGTGACAGCTACTCATTTACAACATGTAAGTACTTATGGAGAAAATGTCATAGGACGGTAATTCCAACGAAGGTCGAGAACCCCCCCCCCGACCTTGTATAAAATCTACACATTTTACCGATACCCGACACTGTTTTTACGATGTAAATTGCTAATTAAAATCCTTCGGTTTTTTTTTCTTTAATTCCTCTCAAACCACAGGAGTTTGAATAACATCAGCCAAAGTGCATAACATTGGCCACTTACTGTGTGTGTGTGTGTGTGTTTACAAGACTACTGTATATACAGGTATGTTAATGTATGGATGTAGGAAAGTCACACGCCGGGAGCTGCACCGCTGGGTCTGACTGAGATTTAAGGAGCTTTATTACCAAGCTCTAATGAGCCTGATTAGAAGTTCACGCCATCCCTGTGGAAACACCTCCACCCCACAGAACCCAGCTGAGGGCGTGAGGAACCTTCAATTGGATTAACGTGGCTAATGTCACCGAGGAGACCAGAGTGGAAACAAACAGCAGTTGAGGGGTGAGGAAAAAGTGAGGGAGGGAGGCGGGGGCAGAGAAGGACCTTTGGCAGAGGGGGATTACCTGCTGAGAGATGATGGGAGGAGGAGGAGGAGGAGGAGGAGGAGGGAGGAGGAGAACCAGCAGAACCAGTAGGATTAGTGTGGCTGGGAGATTTGACTGGAACGATGAAGACGAGATTCCACATCAACACCTTCACACACTCAGATAGTTGTGTTTCTGGAACTAATGAACTCTTTACACTGGTGCGTACTTCCTGACACGTGTCTCACCTCATTCTCACCTAATCCTTTAGTTCAACTAAACCTTTCTACATACATGGTGAAAAACTTAGGGAAAAAAAGAGGTGAAAGCAGTAGGTGTCAAAAAATGTGTTTGTTTTTCTTCTTTCTTTTTTTTTTTTTTTAAATCTATTTTTAACAACAACACATATATGTCATGGAAACAAGATTCAAGATAAAGTCTGCAGTCAAATTTGACTTTTTCCAGTTCTGGTAAAAAATATATGGCTTGATTCCTCACCTGCAGGTGGTGCTAGTTTACACAGTCTCAGAACCCTATCAAAATAAAACCCCTGAGGATGGCTTCACAGTAAAAAAAAAAAAAAAGCACCAGAATGTTCTGTGTTAAACATATACACCAGCAAACGTCCAATGAGAACGACTAGATTAGTTCCATGTAGAGCGAGACGGGAAAATGATCCACTGGACCTGGGTTGAAGGACAACTTTTTAACCTGGTTAAAAGACTAGTCACAGATAAACACTACTGTTAAAAGTCACACAATAAGGGTTTAACATTTTCCTTGGAATAGACTTCTCTGAAACAATGTTCAGTCCCTGATTGTCAACGAAACACAAGCCCAAGTTCAGTGGAGCTGTACACCTCCAATATGTAGCTTGAAATCACACTTCATTCGGAAACAAACATCCTCCTTTTCAACGGGTCTAGACCTACGATTTCTACTCAGATTTTATTCTCAGGCACAAAATGAAACCTTTATTTGGAGATTTGCTATGTTTTCAGTAGTCACTTTACTCCTACACTAGGCTACGTTAAGCTAATCCTGTTATCCCTAGCATTTTACAGCTTCTGTGGGTTTTTAACAGCAGCAGCGCTACATCCTGTTAGCTTTACTGACGACTCCTGGGTCTATATTTCACCAGTTGTTTTTTGTCAAGCTCTGTTAGCATGTTAGCTTAAGGTAACGACTTCACTACTCTTTATAGTTGTGTAATATAACTGATCAAAGTGAGAGGCCCTCCATCCACCGTAGCTCATGATTGTATGCTAAGTTACTTAACAAACAACAGCTAGCAATCAGCTAAATTAAGCTAATCCCGCTAACTCAGCAAGTTAACCTTCCTGCTCAGGAGGTTTTAATGGCAGCTCTGCATTCCTTCAGTTCCATTAGTGCCGACTAGACTCATGTAAATGTTTTGTTTTGTTTTTCCACCAAAAACATCATTAGCTCAAAAACAAATTTTAGCCTCTGTGCTGAAAAAACATCACTGTGTTCCTTTCTCCACAGACCGTAGAAAAAACAAACAAAGGAGATCATTTTTCTTTGATTTATCTTTTCAGTAATTCTTGTACATCATACCATAGCTTCAAAAATGGCAGTAGATTCGTAAGAGAAGAAAAATAACCAAAGGAAAATGATCAGATAAATTACAGGTGCTTTTTTGGTAATCTAATCTTGTTGCACTCAGTTTACTTTACCACCTTTTGGAAATGTGTTTAGGACTGCCGCAGTATTCCAAGGCATGCCTAATGTCTTTCAACTCTATCCTTCGTCTGTCTCCGCAGGTCTGGGATCAGTTTGCCTTGCGGTCACCACAGCAAGGTTCTGTAAAGTGCTGCCCGACAATGACGGAGTGACCTTTCAGATAAGCATGATGAAGCTGCCCATCCCAGCCCNGGCACGCACACACACACACAAATGGTAGGTGCACTGGCTAAGACGTGCACACACTCACAGACATATCTGATGACCCTCTATCTGACAAGTCCAGCCCAAGGGAATTTTACACATCCATACGCACATACGCGCACAGGGTAGACCTCTTTCCCAGGCGAAAGGATCATGGGGTGTCATCTGGCAGGTAGGGTGTCACCAGGACCTGTGAGCTGGGAATATGGGGGGGCTGACCTTAGTGGTTACACAAAGGTCACAAAGGCCTTTTCAAACACAGAGCATCTATACAGGCAGGGAGGTCATCTTTCACCATCTATCAGCCGGATTCTCCCATGCCTGCAGCAAGTCCCCGCTTGGTCTCACTATATATACTACACATATATATATATATATATACACACACACATATATATGTACACATATATACATATATATACACACATATATACATATATACATATATAGATACATATATACATATATACAAATACATATATACATATACATATATACACACATATATACATATATACACACATATACATATACATATACATATATAGACATATATACATATATAGACACATATATACATATATACACACATATACATATACATATATAGACATATATACATATAAAGATACATATATACATATATACATATATAGATACATATATACATATATACAAATACATATATACATATACACATATACATATACATATATAGACATATATACATATATAGACACATATATACATATATACACACATATATATAGTCCACTTCCCTCCACGGACTCTTTGTGACGTCCTGCCGTGCTGGAAAGATTCTGGGGCTCATCATTATAAATCAGCCTGTTAGAAGGGATAAAATTTTAAAGAGCTTCTCCCTGGATTCAAAGTGAAGTCTCCATTAGCGAGGCCAGAGCAAATGGTTGCTCGCATGGCAACATGCAGCAAATCAACACAACAACCCCCTTTAATCACCCCCCTCGTCCTTTGTGTTCTCCTCTCCTGTCGTCCTCTCTTCTCCGGGCCCCGTCTGATAAAGTTCACTT